GATCGTGACATTTCAGTCAAACAGATATTGAGAGTGAATCAGAAGCAGATTATTAGGGCATCTCGAAAGCCCATTTCAGACAAAGATGATCCATGTAGGGCATTCTGAAGGCCCATGAATATTTCAGCATTTTTGGAGGCTTAGCTCAACAAGAAACAAAAGTTGGGGCAGGATGAAAGCCCATTTTAATCAGAATCAGGAATGTTGATGTATTTTGAACGTTCATATCAGCAAATGCTGGGGCATGCTGAAGGCCCATATCATTATGTGTCAAGATCATTGACTTAAACAAATATTTATAATGAGAAAGAAAGATATGAAGATTGAAAATGAAAACAGTGACAGTAGATTTGACTATACATAATTGCTTCGTTCATCAGGCAGTTACATTATGGTCCTGTTGTTGAAAAAATATCTACTCAGCAAAGATAAAGATGATACCCAGACAGACCATTCGATCTAGGGTTCAGTTCCTCAAGATCTCAGCTTTGAATTTTGCATTCTGTGTGTCGGTGATAATTGAAAATATTTCTTTGAGATTCCTGGCAATTAGTTTCAACCATACTATTGAGGTTATGAAGCTGTTTTTCACATCAGTTTTGCTTAATTGGTGATATTGAAGATAGAGGTTTGGCTCACTTATATTACTGTTATTCCCGTTGTTACTGGGGTTATCATTTTCAGCCAAAATTTGATCAACTTTTTGGTCACACCAGCATCTCATTTGTATTCCTATTAAGTTTTGTTCTCAAGTGGTCTTGTGACGTCATTCAAAAGCTTTGAACACTAGGCAAAGAGCTTCAATGATTGAGAAATTTTGACAGAAACCACAGAAAAGGATGAATGTGTTGTCAAACGCTTTACGAACATCTGAGCAGAAACCACAGGAAAGGATGAATGCGTTGTCAAATGTTTTACGAACATCTGAGCAGAAGCCATAGGAAATGATGAATGTGTTGTCAAACGTTTTACGAACCAGTGATTATGGTGTTGAACCAATGTTGTAATCATATGGTTTCCATTTATTAATCCAAGATGAAGTCTGTCTTCTTCAACCCCAAGATTTAAAGTGAGATATGATGAAGATTTCTTTCCACAGAAAGAGAGCTGAAATTTTAACAACAAGAAACTAATGGCACCAACTAAGGTTGAACGACAGGTTGTTGTTAAAGATCTCGACATGACATGGTCCAAGTTGCCGTATTCGAGATTGAATTAGATGTGGAGACATGAAAGGAATTAAGATAAATCCTCTTTGTGATATGTTTCAAGAGTCAAATCAGAATAGACTCTACTCTCCTAATTAATCCTTGCTGAGTCAGGCATATCTACATCTACTTCTTCAAAGATGATAGATTCCCTTTTTAAAGATGACAGATTCTCTTTTCAAAAATGAAAGCTTTATTGGATTTCTACACAAGTCCAAGCAAAGAAAGCCGATATTATCAAAGACAAAATAGGGCATCAAGGTCATAGTTCTGACTACGACAAGAGTTCCACAAATGAAACAATTCTTTTGAGACTTTCATGAAGCAAAGAAGACATAAAGATACAAGTTGATCAGATGGTTCTTCAGAAATGCAAGCTTGATAGCATAAGTTGCTACACTGATATCCAGAGGTGAACCTGGCAATAAATGATGAAGTGGAGGAAAACCGAGTTCACCATTTTGAAGTCAAATGAAGATTTCATAAACATTCATGCATCAAATTTAGACATTTGCAAAAATAGGTGCATTTTCATTCATTTTATCCATGTTGAATTCTGAAGGAATTTCAAATATTTTAGCAAAGATTCAAATCCATCACTTGATGGATCAGCTTTTCCAGAAAAAAGTTCATAATGAGAAGAACTCATCTGAAGAATGAAGAAGAAATTCATAATGAGAAGAATTTGTTCAACCTTTTGCTCAAATCCATCATTTGATGGATCAGCTTTTCCAGAAAAAGTTCATAATGAGAAGAACTCATATGAAGAAGGAAGAAGAAATTCATAATGAGAAGAATTTGTTCAACCTTTTGCTCAAATCCATCATTTGATGGATCAGTTTTTCTAGAAAAAGTTCATAATGAGAAGAACTCATCTGAAGAAGGAAGAAAAAATTCATAACGAGAAGAATTTGTTCAACCTTTTGCTCAAATCCATCATTTGATGGATTAACTTTTCCAGAAAAAGTTCATAATGAGAAGAACTAATCTGAAGAAGGAAGAAGAAGTTCATAATGAGAAGAACTTGTTCAACTTTTCGCTTGAATTCATCATTCGATAGATCAGCATTGCCAGGGCGAGTTCATAATGAGAAGAACTCATCTGAAGAAAGAAGAAGAAGTTCATAATAAGAAGAACTTGTTCAACTTTTCGCTCGAATTCATCATTCGATGGATCAATTTTTCCAGAGAGAGTTCATAATGAGAAGAACTCATCTGAAGAAAGAAGAAGAAGTTCATAATGAGAAGAGCTTGTTCGACCTTTTGCATAATTCTATCACAAAAAGAGATAGATCAACATCAGCTTTTCCAGAGAAAGTTCATAATGAGAAGAACTCATTTGAAGAAGGAAGAAGAAGTTCATAATGAGAAGAATTTGTTCAACCTTTTGCTTAAATTCATCACTTGATGGATCAACTTTTCCAGAGAAAGTTCATAATGAAAAGAACTCATCTGAAGAAGGAAGAAAGAGTTCATAATGAGAAGAATTTGTTCAACATTGCCCTCTTAATTAAGAGAAATCAACTGAATAAAAATTTATTATCTTTTCGTCTTTGCCCTATTCTTGTTAATACAAGAATGGGCAAAGAGGGGCAGCTGAAGACACTAAATTTTTATCCCGGTTCTATTATTTTATTATAATAATTATAATTATTTTATTATTAGTATTAAATAATTTTATTTATTTTACAGGCCCAAATATTAAATCACAAGGCCCAATTACAAGAACCTAAGCCCAAATCAGAGAAGCCCAACCGAACCAGCCCAAGTTTGGAAACCCTAAATAGATTAGGGTTCAATCTTCTTCTCCAGCCGCCTTACTTTTCCACCGTTGGATCTAGCAAGATCCAACGGTCCATAGATCCCCAACCAGAACCCTAGGGTTATGATAACCCTAGGGACCACGCCGCCGCTCCAAGCTTCCAGACTCCTCAGCTACCACACAGCAACCCCTCCACGTTGGTGCCTCAACACGGCACCACCATCGTCAAAGTCTCCAGAACCGCCACGAAGCCACACACGTCACTGCTCTAGGGGTGAGTCACCATAATAGTTTGGTGACTCACCAAAGCCACCACCCAAACTTGCAAACGAGGAGCGACTGAGAGATACCGAGAAAAACAGAAGATAAAAAACAAACACAAAAAAAAGGAGGAACCACCAACAACAGACAACAACAAGAACACGAACCCACATCAGCCAATATAACAGAAAGAGAAGAAAAGAAGAGAGAGCTTACTCTGTCATTGGAAGCTTTCGAAACGTCGCCGGAAACCTTCGAACTTCGAAGGTAAAATCCTAGATCTAGGAAATTCTAAGGGCTTTTAAGATAAATAGAGCTCGTATTCGGCCTTAGGAAGTGAAGATCTACATTTTGGTGTATTTTGAGTTTTCCGGCCACCGTTCACGGTGGCCGGCGGCGGCGGTTATCGCCGGAGCGAGACGGCCGGTGAGTGGCCGGTTCTCTCCCCCGTTGGATGATTTTAGAGAGAAGGGGGAGAAATTCTCTCCTAAGAGAGAAAGAAAAGAAAGAAAATGAAAAACTTTGGCCCTTAAGGGCCGATTATAGGGTTTTTATGCCCTCATCAAAACGACGTAGTTTTGATGAGGGTGTATGCGTAATTTCGCGCATGGTAAAATCATTTACTAAGCCATCTGAGTTTGTAACTTTTACGTTTTAGTCACTGGAATGATTTTCTGGACATTTTAATTTTTTATTCGAATCTTATTTTATTTTTATTTTAGTCCTAGCCAGTATATTTATATGTTTAGGGTAAATATTATATTTAGTCCCTCAGATTATAATATTTTATATTTTAATCACTAATTAATTAATTAAGGATTAATTACATTAGTAACACCTAGTTTTCATAATATTTCAAACTAGAACATTTAATCTTGATATGTCATAATTTAGTCACTAATTTTAATTATAAGTTTTATTACTTTTTATATTTAATTTTAATTTTATTTATTTTACTCATTGTTTATTTATATTTTAATTCTATATGTTTAAATTTTATTCATATAAATATATACCTATATTCTTTTAAATAATAATGTTTATTTATTTTCAATATCAAAGAAAAGGACAGTCTTAAAACAACTGGATGTCCTATTCTAGTATTTTAAATAATTAAACATTACAAAAATTATTAATTAGTTTTATTTAAATTATTTAAATCTTAATATTTATTTTTATTTATTAATATCAAAGAAAAGAGCTGTCTTAAGGCACCTAGAAGTCATTTTCTGATATTTCTAAATAAAAAAATATTTTTATAAATATATATAAATTAATAGATTTTCTTAAAAATTATAGTAATAAATTTGAGATAACAGAATTAAAAATTAAAAATTTGAATTCTTAAATTCTATTATTAGAGACAATTTATAATTAAAAAGTACCAATTTTGGGCGTTGTAGGGGTGCTAATCATTCCCTAAACGTAACCGACCACGAATCCCTTTTTTATTAAAAAAACGAATTTTTTGTTATAAACGCAGATCAGTTCATCTTTTAACTGATGTTTTCTTAAAACTCTTTTAAAAGATAATTTTTAGGTATTCGACCTACCTGATCCAAAAGGTCGATGACGACTCCCAAATTATTTTAAAAAAAACCATTTATTCACATCACTTTTCCCGCCAAATAAAAAATTTGTGCCCGGACGAAAACTGGTTACGACAATAATGTTATAAAAATATTGTTACAACCTTGAGTTACTTATCTCATTAAGAAGTGAATAACACGACAAACTTATATAGTGTGCAAAACGTGTGTTTTCCTATAACTAAAAATACTTGTTTAAACAGCTGCCATTTCTTCTTCCTATGCATTCCTTTATGGTCATCTAAAACAAATTAAAGAAGAAACACTCAACAAACAGAAGCTATACCCTTGCAACATAAAGGCTAAGGGACTTATGAACCTATAGCTAGCCAGGGTTTCAAGAAGAAAAAGAAACTCAATGCCTTGGTACATGATTGTTGATCGGAGGCTTCCGACGAGGCCCTCGGTAACTGTAATCCTTGTTCATTAAGTTTACAACCTCTTCAGCTGCTTCCAGAAGCCTTTTTGATTCATCTTTGTTACCAATGGCAGCCTCATCATCTCTAGGAGTTTCCGATGTCTTGGCCTCCAACTTGTTCACACCACTCACCTGCCAATTTTAAAACATAAAATAATAATGTTGTCAACAATCATACAATATTACTAGAGCCAGTTCGAGTTTTTGTTGAACTCATTTGAGTGGCTACAATAGTAGAAGAGAGTGTTATTCTTTCTAGAAGTCTCGAGTTCAACTAGTTACGCTCTAAACATATACTACCTTGTAATTATCCCGGACTATAAAAATAAAGTTTTATTTTTTGTTCTTTTGTGTGTTTTAGAGTGAAATAGAGAGAGAAAGACCTGGTTATTTGGTTGATATTGTGATTTCTCAATGGACATAATGGCAGCATCATTCTTCTTCCCTGCACTCAAAGGACAATATCTAGTATGAATACATTACAAAGCTGATCAGATTTAATCAAAGTACCAAATCTTATATAAGCTAAATAAAATTTCCATTTTTATAAAACAACAAAACTTTTCCGTTACATACAAAAAGCTATGATATTCACGCAATATCCTTCCCCTAACATCAACCAAACTTAGCTAATCTTTTAACATCTGACAGAAGAGATCTAAAAGGGTTGTTTTTTGACTCAGTTATGCTTTGGAGGGTGACGTTTAGGCCCTCCATAATCAGCACCAAAAGCTACAAAACCAGGTGTTTCAACCTTAGAAAGATCACCGCTATTCTCATTCCAATATTTACGATATTCCACATTAAAAGCTCCCTTTCCTTCAAATTCACATTTTTCATCAGACCGGTTTGCACCTGAATCCTTTGAAACCATATCTTTTTGTTTTCCAATTTTCCTTCCATGAAATTCCTGCAAACATATATACATTAGCTTCCAAAACTTCTAAAAATGTATATGAATAAATTATACAGCACTTTTCACTTACCTTTTGAATTAGAGCAGCTGTTTCCCTACCTGCAGAGACTCAGATTAGAGTTATTAGAAGGTTATTTTAAGTAAATTAATGTAAAAAAAATAATAGTGTACTATTAGTATACCTTGATCAGCATGAACTGAGCAGCTATTGAGGGCATGCAAAACAAAGAAAAGAACAATTACTAAGCCTGCAGTAAACCTTAAAATATGCAGCATCTTTTTATTTGTGGGTTTATTTTTTTTTTTTGGTTTGAAAGAGAGGAAATCTGAAAACCCAGCAAGGAATACGTTTTATAGAGAGTTCAAAGACTAAGTCAAAGCTAGGGTTCCAACACCTTCCTAAATAAAATATTTGCTTGCAGAGCTTAGGGAAACACACCAATAAAAACAATAACTACAATAAAAATACCCATTTTAAAAAAATCTTCTTTGCATCAAAAGTTTGAATGTGGTTTTATGGAGTGATTTGTCAAAGTTGGAGACAAAGACCTTTGTATTTGGAATTAAATGTTGGTTTTGTCCCTCTTTGCCTTCATGCATGCAACGAGGGAAAAAGATTTAATCAAATCTTTGATTTGCTAAATTATTTGAATTGGACCACAAAGCCCTTTTGCTAAAATTAAACATGTGTATACTTTATGCTAGTGATGGGTTGAAGAGGGAGCAAATGAGACAATCGTCCCTTAAAAATTTTAAATTATTATATATTTTATCTATCTCATTAAATTTGTCTATTGTGAGTTTCAAAATTGTCTCATTTAAAAGATCATATTAAAAAAGTTAACAAATAACAATACTTATAGTTCATTTTTACCCTTTTTCTTTTGTACTTATCAAAACAAATCTATCCATCACTTTTTGAGGGATAATTTTGTCATTTCTCTTACTTTATATATGATCAAATTTATATCCTAAAACTACGTATTTTGTCAACATGAGACTCAATTAATAGGACGGATGAAGTATTTTAATTATTTTTTATATTTTCTATTGATAATCTATTTTTGTTCTCCTAGAATTTTATGAGTATGTCACCTCCTAAAATTTTAAAAGTTCACCCCCGTTAGCTTAAAATCATGCATCTGTCATTGTTTCATGTTTAAGGACATATACATATACACGAGTTTTCTCGGGGAAAAATGATTATATTCAAAAATATATACATATACATGAACCCATTGAGTGGCATCGGTGATTAAATGAAGTGTTGTTCTCCTTTGAAGTTTTGAGTTTGAGTAGTTACGTCAGCAGGATATATGTATTGTCAAGGACGAAGCCAGGATTCTAATTCAAGTGGGACAAGATATAACTAACAATAGAAAATGGTGGGAGTGGCAAAATAAAAATAAACCAAAAATTGAAGGTTTAAATAGATATTTATCCCTATAAATATATTTTTAATTATAAAAAAATTAGGGGGTATACCCCCAACCTAACTGCACATAGCTCCGTCCCTATGCATCGTCAATGGTTAAAAAATATTATGAACAAATATTATCTTATGATCACAATAGATTGTTCAAAAAAATAACATACGCATATATAAAGAATTAATTAATGTAAGATGGAGAGGAAGGTTGCAATAGAGGGCAGAGCAAGGAAGCATAGTTCCCAAAGAGGCATGAGCATGAAATTAAGAGCTTGAAGTAACATGGGCAAGTGATTAGTGCATTGAATTACTAAATCATATCACGTATTTGAATAATGTATGCATAAATTTGAGCATAAAACTAATAAACTAATACAAGTTTGTGGTTACAAGTTTAAAAGACGAGGATACTTGTGCTCACCTCATCTTGAGAATAGTGTGAGCTCCTTTAATTACCCAACTCGCTTCAACGTGGTTAATTAATTTGCCCATTTTAATGAAAATTATCAAACTTAACCGACATACATGATATACAATTTTTAAAAAATTCGAGATCTATGAAACGTACGGTTTGAAGATTTTGTTTGAAACGTTTTAAAATAGGTGTGTAATGATTACAGTAAATATATTATTATTAATATTATTAAAATTTATATTTATATCATTATTTATATTTTGCGACATAAATTTGATATCATAATTATCGTCACGTTGTATGTTATTAAATACTTAACGTGACAATATTTTTTTTCTTCACATATTGTTAAACATAGTAATAATTATATATAACTTTACATTATAATTTAAATAGAGAGACAACTTATTAGGCCAATTTTTTTTCTTTTGAATGGGGAAGATGACAGAAGCCAAGAGCTAGCTAATTACATGCGCATGTAGGGAGGGCCAAGGAGTTGTTGGAAAATAAACTAGTAACGAGTAATTTCCTTATAACCAGATTAGTGAGAATGCGAAATAAAATCGGAAAAATAATACCTGAAATTGATAACGGAGTTTAGCCAATTGTGCTTACGTCTCCGGACTGCTGCAGATCTTTTACTAAGAGAGAAAATTTACAGGTGTTTACAAAACACTCATTACTCACAAGAAAGCTCTCTAGTATTGGGAGAAAGAAATGATTTTGTGATGATTTTGAAGCTAAATGAGCTAGAGTATTTATAGTTGAAACTTAAGGACTTAATCATGTAAATACCCTAAAGTCTAGTGACTAATTATGATTATCCCATTACAATATTTCAAAGAAACATTTACCAAACTTTGAAAACCATTTTCAAAGAAACATTTATCAAACTTTGAAAACCATTTTTTCAAAGTTGGTTGCCAAACTTTCAACAATCTCCCACTTGAAGACTGATTTTAATATGTATTCACACCTTGATCAATGTAGCAACATTTATGGTCTTGTTACTCCAGCATGCCAACTGAAGTTAAACACAACTTCAGTTTGTCCGTGGCCACCGTCTTTGTCACATGTCTGCCGGATTTTGAGCTCCACTAATCTTTTCAAGTTTCAAAATCCCATCTTCCAGAAGAGACCGAATAAAATGATACCGTAATTGTATGTGCTTCGTCCTTGAATGAAAAGATGGGTTCTTTGCTAGATGGATAACACTTTGACTGTCGCAATACAAGACATTATTTTCTTGTTTCTTGCCTAACTCTTCCAAGAAACTTTGGAGCCAAACCATCTCCTTGCTGGCTTCCGTAACAGTGACATATTCTACTTCAGTTGTGGAGAGATCAACTATATTCTGTAGTTGAGAAACCCAACTCACTGCAGTACCTCCTAGAGTATAGACATACCCTGTAGTGCTCCTTCTGATGTCAACATTTCTAGCTAAGTCAGCATCTACATAGCCTGTCATTATCGTATCTCCACCTTTGAAACAAAGTGCTTTGTTTGTGGTACCCCGTAGATATCTGAGGATCCATTTGACTGCTTCCCAATATACATTGCCTGGATTATTCATGTACCTGCTAACAGCTCCCATTGCATGAGTAATATCTGGTCTGGTACATACCATGGCATACATCAGACTTCCAATTGTTGAGGCATACGACACCTTTACCATGTGTGCACGTTCTTCCTCCGTCTTTGGTGACTGTTCTTTAGAGAGTCTAAAATGAACACCTAAATGTGTACTTACTGGTTTAGCATCTTGCATGTTGAACCTGAAGAGTTCTTTGTTAATGTACTCAGCATGTGATAACATCAAAGTCCCCGACTTTGTGTCTCTCTTGATCCTCATCCCAAGAATCTGCTTTGCAGCACCTAGATCCTTCATAGCAAACTGCTTCGACAATTTTTTCTTCAAGCGTATAATCTCTTGTATGTCTGAGTCTGCAACGAGCATGTCATCAACGTACAATAATAAAATAATAAAGCTGTTGTCGAACCTCTTGATGTAGCAACAATGATCTGCTTGGCATCTGGTAAAACCACTGCTACTCATCACCACCATAACCAACAAAGACACATTTGTTGGACTTGGCATCAAGTTTACTTCTTTCAGCAGAGTTTATATGTACATAAGAAATACAACCAAACACTCTTAAGTGTGAAAGATTTATTTCTTTCTTGCTCCAAACTTCCTCTAGTATTCTGTCATGCAAAGGAACCGAGGGCCCACGGTTGATCAAGTAAGCTGCAGTGTTGATAGCTTTAGCCCATAGAAATTTGGGCAATCCGATATGTATCCTCATGCTTCTGGCACGTTCATTCATAGTTCTGTTCATTCGCTCTGCTACGCCATTCTGATGCGGTGTCATGGAAACTATTGTCTCCATCTTGATCCAATTGTTTGCGCAGAAATCTATGAATCTATGATTTTTGTACTCTCCTCCATTATCAGACCTCAACCGCTTGACTTTCAGACCAGTCTCATTTTCCACCATGGCCTTCCATTTTCTGAAGGTATCAAAGACTTCTGATTTCTTCTTCAGAAAATAAACCCACACCTTCCTTGTAGAATCATCGATGAAGGTGACATAATATAATGAGCCTGCAAGAGATGGAACTAGAGAGGGTCCCCATACATCAGTATGAACCAACTGTAACTTTTCAGCCTTGAGTGTCTTACCAATCTTTGCAAAGCTGACTTTCTTTTGTTTGCCAAAGATGCAATCCTTGCATAGTCCGACATCTACATTCTTTAGATCCGGCAGCTTCCCCTTTGACAAAAGTGTCTCATCCCTTTGGTGCCATAGGTTTGATTTTCCATCAACATCTGCTACTGTAATGATATTCTCTAAATTTGAGGTCATATAGAGAGTACCAGTTTTCTTACCACGAGTAATGACGAGTGCTCCTTTGGAAATCTTCCATTCACAGCCTGAAAAGGTTGTACTATAACCTTCTCCATCAAGCTGTCTTATAGAAATCAAATTTCTTTTGAGGCCAGGAATATGTCACTCCTGTCAGCTTCCAGGTGGTTTGGTTTGGCAACTTTAGTCGGATGTCTCCTTTTCCGACGATCTTCAAGGTTTCATCATCAGCTAGATGAACCTTCCCAAAATCACCACTGACATAGTTCTCCATGATTTCTTGGCATGGGGTAGAGTGAAAAGATGCCCCTGAATCCAAGATCCATGATTCAATCGAACTGTTGACGCTTAGAATCATGGCATCACTTGTCTCCTCTGTCACGTTGGCAGATTCCTATGCGCCGGTATTTTTCTTCGGTGCTCGGCAATCTCTTTTAAAGTGACCCTTCTTACCGCAGTTATAATAGATAAAATCTTTCTTTCCCATTCTTGATTATTCCGTTATGGATTTGGATCTGCCACGATTTGAATTTCTTTATGAAGTTCTCCCTCTGGACTCCGTGTG